GTCTTCCCTGGCTTACATTTGTAGGCAAAAATTATCTGACGGCACCAGGCAGGATGATGGAACGGCCAAACAACTTTGAAGTAATGGAGCATGTTGTGCTCATGATATATACATCTCCTGGTATTTCACCTAAGACGTTATCGGCTAGAATAAGTTTTTATTAGTGGCGCTCGGCAATCCTGGAGATGTAGGGTGGATGTAGACCTCGGTCACTTGCCCACCTAGCGGATCCTACTGAACTAAAACAGCGTTGGCCGCGATGGTCAAAAGTTTGCTGTCGACTGCAACCTTCAGAGCGCTTCTTTATCAGGGCCACCACTGGCCAAGCTGTGAACTATCACTGTGAACTATATATAGATATATACAAATGTGTACATCAGCGATAGTTCACAGCTGGGCTGGTAGGGGTACTGATTAAGAAGAGCTCTGAAGGTTGCAGTTGGTAGCAAACTTTTGACCACCACGGTCAACTCTAAACTAAAGTGAAAAGCTAACGTATTTTTGCAAAACTTTGAGCTTATTTATTGGTATTGTAATTAACTTTTTCAAGATAAAAACTATACTTAAACCATCTAGGAAGTGTCAAGAATCGGTATGCGAAATTTCAGCAAAAACGGTTCAGTAGTTTTCGCAGTTGGCGATTCGAACGGTTTTAGCGACTTTGCTTTATACATTAGTAAAATGTTTTTTGTAACTTCTAAAATAACATAAGTCTTAGGTACTTTACCTTTTTCAATTATTGTTTTTAAGAAAAAAGAAAAAGAACGTATCGATTATTTTTTTAAATTATACAAGACGGACCAAATATAATTTTTCGTCTAAAAACCTGATTCTTTTTTTTAGAAGCAGCAAGGAACCAAGCAGTAAGCTGGTGATAGGGAGTCCTCTGATCCTCCTATACTGTGTGCTCAGTGTTAGTATACATATGTATATGTATGTACGTGAGGAATGTAAAGATGCGCGCACATACGTGTACATATATACACATGAAGAGACTAATTACTGTTTTTAATTTGATACAATAACAACAAAATTTTACATGCTTGGTAGATCGATGCGGATGCACAATATTTATTGAAGGGGTTCTTATTATGACCTCAATATATTTGAAAATAAGCCATTTTAAAAAAGAAAGTAAAATAGACAACAAATGATAATTTTTCAGGGTTTTCTAATGGGGAAAAAACACTGCTGCGCACCATTAGAGAGGTTTTGATATGTATCTCACATAACCTTAATTTTATGTGGATATATTTTATTCAAGGAACATAATTTTGGAAAAAAATATGTTATGTTTAGTANAACATGTCGTAAAGTGGCCATTACATCCCGTAGAGTTCCAATGGCCACCTCTCGGGCCAAAGGTGACCATCGATATTTTTTATAGGTTACGAAGGATACCGTCATACACATTTATACTGGAATAATTAATTTTGTATGTACACAGGTACATAACAGGTAAAACATATATTTCTTAAATATAATTCTTTTATAATATGAAAAAATAGAATGTTTTTTTGTTACAGTAAAAGTAAAAAATTTTGTAAAATATTATATAGCATTTTTACAATATTATTAGCAATGTGAAAAAAATGATATTTAGTTTTTTGGCTATACATAACTTCAAAATTATTAAAAACTCGCGAACTTTTTAACAGGAAGACACATGTTTCAAAATAAAATCTTTTATTGGTGTTTTAAGTTAAAAAACAATCGTTGCGTACGAATAGAGAGATAGTAGTTGGTGTCAAAATAACTTTGACTCCAGATAAATTAGCTACACTAATGTTATAAGGAATAAGTTTACAACTAAATTATTGTTTGTTCCGAACATTGTTGTAAAACTGTCAACTCAAATATGCTTTTAAAAATGTGTCAACTTAGATTTTCTGTCAAGAAAGCGTCAACTCGGAGGAATATTTTTTTCAAAAATTTTGTAGTAGCAACACTGATTTTATAATTATAAACAAGCAAAAGTAAAGAAAAAAAGATGTGAAAATCCCGTAAGACACCATGAGAATCAGAGAGAGGTCTGCAAATTAAGTCTCACAAACTTCGCATCACGCATATGGTAGCCATGTGACCACGGTGCATTTTTTAAAGCACATTCGTTAATAGAAGCACTGGCATATAAATGTTTCCTTTAAAATTGCTTGCACAGTGTTACACAAAATGGATTTTTTTGCACAAGCTAGTAGTACATGGTTTTCCGTAGATTTTTCAACGCTAAAACCGAATTCTGCCTCGGAATTACTCTAAAACGTTAGGATTTTGATGGGTCAGGACCAAATCATTGATTAGGTTAAAGATAGTGCCAACTCAAACTTGCTTTCAAAAACGTACCAGTTTGAAGACGTTTTTTTTGTTGTAAAATTTTGTTGTAACAGCACTGATTTTACTAATACCAATAATACCAATAATACAGCATTACACAGTTTGTGCACAAGCAAGTAGTACATGGTTTCTCGTAGATTTTTCAACGCTGAAACCGAATCAGGCCTCAGAATCGCTCTAACACATTAGAATTTTGAATGTTCCAACCTTATCGTGCAAAAAACACGATTTTGGACTATTTTTAAGATTATGTAGCATTGTAATATATTTTTTTCCAGAAAAACTATACAGCACGTTTGAAAGTGTAAGTCTTACTCTTTCAAATACCGTTGTGTTTTCTCAAATATTTCGTTTTTCTACCGAGATGTACTATTTTACACTTTTTTCTAGTTAAAGCAGTTGTCTTATTATGCCCTTGTTGAGACAGTCATTGTGAAATTCATTTTCTTTATAAAAGTTCAAAGTAACACAAATCAGTAAAAAAAGATATTTGAGCAAACTCAACGATATTTGAAAAAGCAAGACTTACACGTTTGAGTGCTCTATACAGTTTTTCTGGAAAACAATATGTTACTATGCTACATAATCTTAAATATTAGCCAAAACCGTGTTTTTTGCTCTTCTAGGTTAAAATATTCAAAATCCTAATGTGTTAGAGTAATTCTGAGGCCTGATTCGGTTTCAGCGTTAAAAAATCTACGAGACCCCATATACTACTTGCTTGTCCACAAACTGTGTATTGCTGTGTTATTTGTATGAGTAAAATCAGTGCTACTACAAGAAAATTTTACAAAAAAAAAAAAAAAAAATGTCTTCAAATAGGCACGTTTTTGAAAGCAAGTCTGAGTTGGCACTATCTTTAACCTAATCAATGATTTGGTAATAACGAACGAATCAGTGGGACTTTATTGTTACTCTTGTACATGTTATATAAAACACTTTTTTCAAATGACTAAAAAAAAACCAGGGGTCTGATCCTAACTCCTCTTTCCTGAACCCTCGTCAAATACATAGGTTAGATTATTATGTTACTGATGAATCGGCTAATATGCAGTGATTCGCGAGAAATTGACGAGTCGGGATCAGACCCCAGGACTTAGATGTTCGAACAGGAAATTGGCATGTAGCCGTCTGTTTCTACTAGTCCACAGTTGTATAAGGGAGTTAGAGCGCAATTTACTTAGCGATAAAAATGTTCCGAAAAAATTTATGTTGTAAAGGAACATTGCATGGATGTAGACACCAAATTTGAACACAATCGCGTCTACAGGTTTCGAGAATAAAATTCATGAAGTTTCCCTTTTTTGTTGTCTTTAACATAAACTTGAATATAACTTGTTAAAAAAGTCTTATAAAAATACCCATAACGCTTGACGTAACAATGAGAATGTTTTAAAACTGATACGTCATGTATATAGAGCCAATTAAAAAAAAGCATGTTGAAGCTCAAGGTTTAATTTACAAAATAGACATCATAAGATAGTTTAAAACAGGTTCGTTTGCATCGAGTGTGTGCAATTAAAAATGCGAGAGCAGACACTCTATCAGATAAAATTTTACATGTTTTTCATTAAAGTTGCGCTGCATTGTTTAGTGTTTTACTTGGAGAGGGAAAAAGTAATTGCGTTAGGAGTTGTTATTTACAAGGTTTAAATTGAAAATATTTCATCATTCGGGAGAAACTAAGGTGCTTGAGTTACCTAGTAAGCTTGTCTTTCCCCGGTCTCCCTTATTACGTAATTTTTTTTAGCATATTACTAATAAATTAATGAGTACTGGCGAGTTGAACACAAATACATTTTTCGTAATTGAGAGAGCAGACGTTTTTGGGCTAGGTTAGTGCAGTGGACTCTATCACGGCGCCTTATGCACATAAACGTTCTCTACTTCACTTCCCCGCGGAAGCAACCCAACTCCCTTAATCTTAAGCACTGGACAACTACTACTTCGTAGGAGATTTATCAGCACTTCTTACGATGTAGCCAACATACTCCAGTACATGTATTATATTCTTAAACGGAAATATAAGATAGAATCGCCGAATCAACAATTTGTAAAAAAAATCATCGAGTAAGAAAGAGCAAATAAGGCTCAGGTCAATGGCTAATTTCTAAACAACATACATTGAATTCATCTTTAAATTCTGCTTGTTAAAAAAAAATTATTTTTTTTCATGAGACTTCTTGTGTCTTTTTATACATAACTTCATGATCATTTATACAACTATAATTGTAACATTACTTCCGTGATAAAAATGTCATGATCTTGTAAGAACATTTTAATGAATCATATAAAAAATAACATATACATAATATAGCATACAGAAATATATGGTTTTACAGCCAAAATATAGATATTTGCGGAAACCCATGGCAAAAAAATAACATTGCGAGTTCGTTGGTTAAACATTCGCTCACGTATGAAAAATCGCTCGAACTTCGTCGTCAAGCAAGAATGTTACTTACTACGCCTTTTTCTCTTACTCCCTTTATCGCATCCCCTTGTTGGCTACTAGACTCCTGGCATGCTCTTTTTTAATATCTGCGTCTTTTTTTCGTAACCTTTACTATTTTCTACAAATCATGAACACGAAACAAAAGAGTTTAAATAGAGCTTAACATTTTTTTCATAATATCTCATGTTAAAAAATTAGATGTAAGCGTTGTTTTCTAGAGAGTTATAATGATTTATTTTTGAAACAGGTTAAGACTCTCTGAGACAACTCGTTACGTACGTTAGACTTCTCTGACATAATAGTACAATCTATTTCATTTTTTTTATTTTACTTGGAGTCCAAACTAAGCCTAACAGCATGCAATCAGCTTCTAGTATTGTGACATCTTTAGAGGCTCCCAAAAATTGACTTGATAACTCTAAATTCTTGATTCTCAACCGAACTTCAGCTCCTCTAATAAAGTCACTGTAAAAAAAATTAAAGACCTCATTGCAAACCGATTATCATGATACTCTAGTATATTGTTATAATTAGATAAAAATAGAATACCTGTGACTTTTTATCGGTTTCGGACAAACACAATGAAACTTCCAGCCAAAATCAATGTATAAATCGTTGTTGACAACTTTAAAAATTTTGCCAAGTACCACTTTATCTTCAAAATCTCCCAACTAAAATGAATTTACAAATTGAAGAGGATATTAAAATGATCAATTACACCTGGCTCCAATAAATTACGTTATCAATAACATCAGGTGATTAATCACATAATGAATCATACAATAAGTTGTTGAATAGTTTAAGCATGACCACAGTGTTTAGTAAAGAAATAACATGCAGCAATAATTGATATTTTACCTAATCAGTAGTTGTGTAAATTTTACATAACTAATTTAGATTCGAAAATTTTTATGATATAAAACAGGATTTTAATTGTTTAAGAGCTTAAAGAGGTTGAATGATTCTCTTAAAATGTATAAAATGAATGAAATAAGTGAATGAAATATATATAAGTGAATTTTTTATAACTAACTGTCTAGAATTAGGAAACTGTAGAAATTCTTTCACAGATTTACTGCATTGAGAAAAAAAATGTTATACCTTCTTAGAAGAGAAATAAGATTTCTAGGTAAAAATACCTTTGAGGACTATAGTGATTGTATTTTGATACAGTTTACAGAAGCTCGAAGAATACAAGGTACCTAAGTTCTTATAGTTGTAAAATATTATAGCATGAGTTTGACTAAAAATTGATATCAAAGCTTTAACCATAATAGTAACTAGTTGTTAAATCTTTTAAACTTGGTAGCACAAAACTTACGTGGTTTTAAAGTTATAGACACTTGGAGCAAAAGTCTTCAAGGCTGTGCAAGTTATAATCGTAAAAGTTTATAAAAACTTGAAAAATAAGAATTCTTGGATTTCAATATCAAGAGAGCCTGAAGCGTGTCAGTTGCGAAGTTTTTGGATTATAAAAATTAGAAACTTTAAAAGATTAAATCATAGTAGTTACTGGATGTCAGAGTTAACGAAGTTTTTAGCATAAAAACTAATTGATTTTAGGTTATGTAAGCTTAGAGTTTTTAATTTACTAGATTTTAAGACTACAAGTTATATAAGCTTATAATGTAAGAATAAAAAAATTCTGGGTTTTTAGGGTCCTATAGCTTGTAGCATGAATTGTAGTAAAATAGGTTTCAATATCATATTCTATGAACCTTAAGATATTTATAAAACAGAGTTTTTCTATCGTTACAGATCATGCTATTTAAATTCTGGTATTTTATGACCCATTAAAAATGTTTATTTTTTGGAGAGACTTGGCATGACTAGGTATAAAACAGAAATGTGACATTGTTAAAGAAGGTAAGGCACAAGCTTGCCATGCCATATTATTAGAATTTGTCTCACATATTCAGTCCATTCAACAGCTATCAATGATACTAGTAAAGGGTGTATGTTCGTCATTTTCTCTCTTTTCTATGACCATCATAAGCTCTCCACTGCTGTCGCTCTTTGGCTTTGGCTTCAGGGAGGGCAGCGTATACCTGCCGTCGTAGAAGTAAACGCTAATAAAAACACAAATCGGAAATAACCAAGATTTAAATAATATTAGTAAAAAACTCGATCACTACCACTTATTGACTAACTTATTTGAACACTTTTTTTGGCACAATGGTTATTCTGTGTTATCTGCACTCTCAGAAATATATACACACAGTAACACCTGGTGTTCTTCTATCCTTTTTAGTGCGGATCGTCGTAATACGATATAACAAGAGTACCCCAACTTTGTTAGCTCTACCAGTATTCGATTTTGTGTATACATAAATATGAATATACAGTAACATACATAATCGTTAACCATAACTTGTTAAAATATAATTATAAAAGACTCACATTCGCTGAAGTAAAGTGTGTAACCCTAAAAGGAAACTGATCTTTAAAGTTTGAATTGATTTCAGAAACTTTTCTCGCTAGAATGACCTTATGAGTTAATCATTCAAGGATTTTTTTGTTTGTATTTACGAGAACTAATCTTACCAGAGACTTAGGGTCTTTATAAATCTCGACAACTGTACCAAGCGGTACTTTCTGGGTGAAGTCAACTCATATTTTATTAAAATTAGGGCTCCCATTTTATAGAAGCTTAAGGAAATCACCATTTGGCTTGCATTTATAGCCTGTTTAAGTATTCCTCTGACCACCTTTTCCAGAAGACTTGGAGAAATCGAGATAATAGTTTCTATCAAATAATAGCAAAACCTTTTATTTAATTCTGTCAGATTCAGGCAAAGAGTCAGTTAGTTAGAGCATAAAAAATGAGCAGGGCAGCTAGGGCAAGGGATTCAGATCACCTAGATCATCAGTTAACGGTTTCAAAGATTGAGAGTGCAGGCATACTTTCATTCTAGAAATAAGAGTACAAAACATTATCATAGTTAAAATTGAATTTTTATTAACTCTTTTTAAGTGGAACTTAGTGATCTTAGCTGCTGTTTCCTATAGATCTCTAGAATAAGGAGCTAAGGGAGGATTCAAGTGACATTTGTTGCATAGCATGGAGAGGTCATCAGCTAGATGGAATGCTCCTATAACTTCCACATCCTCATCAGCTTTAAGTTAGCGACAACGAAGTTTATTCCTTAATCTCCGTACAAATCAGTGTAGGTCACACCATGAGACGAATCTGTAAACGACAGCGAAAAAGGAGTCTTTGGAGTAGTCCTCGACTGATACCAGCTAAACTTCTCTGGTAGCCACACAAATGAAAACGACAATGTATCATTTTAGAGTACCTAAGAGCAGTGTTGACTCAGTGGTAAGCGTGCTTAATACTTATACAACACCAATCTTGGGATCATGGGTTCGATTCCTGGTGTTAGAAATGAACTTGATAACTCATGTGTGAATGTTAGTAGTAAATAAGTCTTCAGTTAGTCTTTAGCTTCAAGCTTTTATATAATAGCCTGCTAAGCTCGATTCTTCTACATAGACTGAGATTTGGCAAACCATTTAATCTGTGTTTGCCAAATTGCTAAAAATGCTACTTGATGACTTTCTTGAAGAAATTGCGTACTAAATAAGGTTCTGTGTAGAAAAAGGTGTTTAAAAAAGTTTTAGTTTGCCTTTAGGATGAAAAATGAAAAAAACACTTGCAGTTTGAGATAGGGTTTGTTAATTTCGTAAATAGCGTGATGAGGCAAGAAACAAACGTTAAACCTTGGAATCAAATGAAAAATGAGTTTATAAATAAATCTTCACAATTTACTGTCATATATTAGTGTTACAAATGTTTCGGTACACTGTACCTTTCTCAGACACAGACTGTACATGAAAATGATGATTTTTTACTTACATTAATGATGATTTATTTTGCAATTATACAAAAAATTAAAAAAAAATTAAAACAAATTTTTTTTAAATCCATTCATTATCATCATATTTAACAATTGAAACTGTAGAATCTATTTTCTATCATATTGAGAATCGGCTTATTATAAGAAAAATATAAAATATATACAATCGATGAAATATTATCTAAAAATCTAGCAAATACTGCATCAGTTGCAATACAATATTTAGTGCTTAATTGTTTGGGATCATTTATGATTGTTAAATAGAATGTACCTCTCAAAAACTTAAAATATTTTTGTATTTTAAAATAATCCTGTTCACAGAAAAGAACATTTCTTGAAAATGATAAAAAATAATCCTAATTATAATATCAGTTTATCATTTTCTACCAGCATAAAATATCAAGAAAAGCAATGAAAAAAGTCAACATATAGAAGTACGATAGAGAAAGCGAGCGCAACAGCAGTCAATCAATGAGGCTCTCTATTTTACTTACTCTTACAAATACTGTCGAAATGCCTTTCTAATTTTTTCCTCAACATTTTGAGCTTGTCGAAACAAAAGTTAAAGTGCTTGTTGATAGAAAATTTGGGGCCTTACATGCTGGTATTTTAATTTTTTTGTACCTCAAACCGTTAACAAGATATAAGCAAAACGAAGTTCAATACACGATTTCAACATCATTCTACCACTTAAAAATATTTATAACTATTTGATTTGCAATAAGAGGGCTGTAAAGGAGACCAGGGTATTCTGGGCACCCAAATTTTAGCAGCAAATTACAAAAAAATACTTCATTTCCAGGAAATAAAAAAAAAAAAAAAAAATAGTTAAGGACCCAGACAAATAACATTCCATCTGTAAAATTTATTAATCTACAGTGAAACTTAGTTTTATGCCAAAAAGCAAACATGTCGTAAAGTGGCCATTACATCCCGTAGAGTTCCAATGGCCACCTCTCGGGCCAAAGGTGACCATCGATATTTTTTATAGGTTACGAAGGATACCGTCATACACATTTATACTGGAATAATTAATTTTGTATGTACACAGGTACATAACAGGTAAAACATATATTTCTTAAATATAATTCTTTTATAATATGAAAAAATAGAATGTTTTTTTGTTACAGTAAAAGTAAAAAATGCAGAGTTTTCTAACTTTTTTATTTTTTTATTCATTCACTTAGAAATGTAAAAGTCTTTTGTTTTACAATCACAATGTAGTAAGTAGATAACTTAAGTATTACACATTTATAATGCTTATGATCTTAGTATTTGTCAGTCTCAAAATTTTTTAAAATTTTTTAAAGCTTGTTGCTAGAATCTTTCTCTTTTTTCGCAACAAAATTTTGAACACGAAAAATAAAAACGTTAATGTTGAGTACAAAGACTAATGTCTTGAAAAGAAATATTTCGAAGGTCTCTAAATGAGACAGTCTCCAAGTTTTATTTAAAATTTGCGTATTATTTACGTCCCAGAAAATCTCACAATTTTGTAATTGAACAGGGTCAGCAACTAGATGCTCCTCTTCTTCAAACTTTTTTTTTGCTTCTTTGGCATACTCTTTGCAGTAGTTTTTTTTTCATTTAGCAGGTGCAGGTTTTGGTATAATTGGATGATATAAAATCACATTAGATGTAACAATGGGCTTGGATTTCTTGATATTTCTCAATTTTTCAACCCTTAATTCTTAAAAATACTCATCACTTGTTACTATACAAGCGCTCCTATTTTTTGATAGTTTTGCGGTTGTTATTTGCTAATTATTTGATATTTCCTATAAAGGCGCTAAATCAACTTTTAACAGATT